ACATAAGTCTCTGAAAGGAACTAGGAGCATTTCTCAATCCAAATGGAACACGTGTCCAATGATAATGACCAGAAGGTGTAGTGAAACCACTTTTGTAGGTGTCTTCAGGGTGTATTTTCATTTGAAAGAAACCTGAGGTTAAATCCAACGTAGAAAAATAAGTAGCATTCCCTAAACCCTCAATAAGTTCAAACATGTTTGGCAGAGGAAATGAATCTTCAACAGTCTTTTCATTCAATTTTCTAAAATCTGTAACCAAACGATAACTACCATCTTGCTTCCTAACCAAAATAACAGGTGCAGAATAAGCACTATCACTTTCCTCTATAATTTTTGCCTCTAACAACTCAGCAATCTGTTTATCTAACTCTTGTCTTAAATGATAAGGAACTCTGTAAGGTTTCTGTCTGACAGGAATATTGTCCTTTAAATTGATATTATGCAAAATAGTATCACAACCAGTAAGTTCAGTAACTGAAGAAGCAAAAATATGCTTATACTTGTCTAAGAGACTCATAAGTTCATGTTTCTGTTGTTCTGGTAAATGACTTAAGTCAAACTGACCTCCCCAGGGTTCAAACTGATCACCAGTCTCAAGACTCGTTGAAAATACTGGCTGAATATCAGGTGTACTGGCATTAACAGGAGCCAAAGTGGCTAATTTCATACCTTTGTTGATGTGTATGAAGTCAGGAGAAAATTTGCAACCTTAATGAAAAATTCATTACTATCATGTTTACTATTCACTGAACGTGCTACACAAAATTTAAAGTGCTGATGGTGAGTGAGAGGTTCAATAAGTACAGAAGACTGTGAAAAAAGGCAAAAGAGTAAAAGAGGAGATGAGACTTTGAGAATATTCTCAGAGAAGGAGTAAGTTTATGTTTTGTCACAGAGTAGCAAAACATATCATTAGTAGGGTTAATAGGAGATGAAATACAATTATTAGAAACATCAGCATTTGACGTAGACTTGTGGAGGTGCAAGGGCACTAAAATGTGTTGACCTAGCAAATTAGATGTATTAAAATCAATACACAGTTTGTTTAAACTTTAAAATGTAGTTTCTAACAGTGCAGCATACTGATCAGACTATCAATAATGAGAAATTCAGTTTCAAAGATGTGATCTTGAAATTTAACAGGCAAAGTGGCCTTCTTGTTAACTAACACCTTGTTGCTTGAAATCCCTTTTAAATAAACTTCACAAGGTTGAACTTTTAGTTTCTTTCCAAAACACTGACAGTATTTAGCATTTAACAAGTTAACAGTAGCTCCTGAATCTAAAAGAAATTTGAGTTTATTACCCAAGATCGAGCCATTCACTATTGGAAGAGGTGCTTCACCTAAAGAAACTGAATACACTGAAGGTACCTTCAAAAGGGCTTCCTGGGATGAACTGAAGGTTTTGTTCTCCCTACCCCTAACTAGTTTAAATTCTGGCTAAAAACAGGAGCCTGAGGATTTAACTGAGTCGTGTTGCTTGTATTAGCCTGACCTGGAACTTGTTGTTTGTTATGTGTCACTCTAGCATTACCTTGCTGGCTAGCAATGTTATGTGAAAACTGTCTTGCTCTGGCATTGTTGTTAGGAACCTGAGATAAATTCACCATACAATTTCTAGCTATGTGACCTAACCTATTACATCTGTAACAATGAGGACCTACTTGTCTAAGATTAACTGTAGACTTAGACATCAATGACTGTACTTGCATTTGCAAATTTCCCAACATGTTAGTCAAAGTAACAATGTTCTCTTGCTGTGCCTTGATAGCTGCAGTTAGTTCGTCTTTCGAACTATTAACCTGTGCAGCCTTAACTGTGACACGAGGAGTGGAAACTGCATTAACTTCAACAGTGTGCACGTTGTTAAGCTCATTTGCATGAGACTTAACCCAAACCTCTTCTTCAGCTATAGCTTGTCTTTTAGCAGCTGCATATGTTTTGTGGTTCTGAGGTAACAACAATCGCCTCAAATGTAAATGGAGACCTTCCAGAAAAACTGACAGAAGTAATTCAAGTCTCTGACTCTCCACAGTTGGATCTTCCATCTTATCCAATGGCACAGTTTTACATTAAAAGTGCCTCTAGTCTAGCAGCAAACTGCCTAACTGTCTCTCTAGGCTTCTGAAAAGCCTGAATTAATGCTCTAATATGAGCATTCAAATTGTGCACTGTCGAAAATCTGTCCTTTAAGGCATCCACTACAGCAACCAAACTTGCTCTCATTCTTGAGACAAGGATTACTGCGAATAAATGCAGCCGCCTCACCCTCCAATTTTACTTTAATGGCAGTCAACTTATCAGAATCAGTCCAGCCAACATGTGCTGCAACTAAATTAACTCTGTCAATAAAATCACTAAGCTGTGTAGAACCTTCAGCTCCACTAAAAGTAGGAATAGACACAAAGGGATCAGCCCCAAAAACGGAGATTCTACTCCTACTACAGGAAGCCAAAACCAGCAACCCAACGCTATGAATTTTCACAGGAAGGGGTTTCCGGACTACCAGACGAGCCGAGCCGTTTCTCCCTATTCCATCATTCAACTTCCAAGGCCACACCAATGTGTCATCAAATCTGCAGACGAAAACAAGGGGGGGAAGAAACTAGCCTCGCTCGAGGGTCCCAGACGATAATGCAAATCTTCTAACTCGACGGATATTTTCCCCCACCATAAGTATGCTGTAGAACATCTCCATGCTTGCCTGTCCAGAAAAACAGGGTCCTCTTTTCGTGAAACACCATATGGTAATATGCATTCAACTTTGCCCCCCACATGTAGTGTATCGCTTGGGAGAAGGAATTTTGGGGTGCAGCAAAACCTCTGATAAGAGTTTCCAAAAAGGAAATCCAAGCCGAGGGCAAGGGGTGAAAAATCTCTGAACCAAGTTAATACAAAAATGACTTTGGGAAACTAAAAATGAAACTACTAATTACACAACATTATAATTCATAATAAAAAATTCATAATAAAAATGTCAGCACTGTAAAAATTGTTTCTTCAGCCACAATTAAAGTATACACACATATTATCCAAATTGAAATACCAAATAAAAAAAAAAAAAAAAAAAAAAAAAAATTTATCCTACCGCCAGTCAGAAAATATGTATTCGTTTTAACTTTAAAAGAATGAGGGATACAAATTAAATTACTTAAGGTTAAGAAAAAAAAAATTAACACACCAAAAGTGCAACAGCAAGGCTTTAAAAAAAATTCAAGTTAAAAATTAAACAACCTTAAGGGTCAAAACAACAAGTTACAAAAACCAAAAATCTTAAGTCCCTAAACTCAAATTAAAATTAAACAACTTCAACTCAAGAAAACTTTTAAAGGAATCCTAACCAAAAATTAAAGTTTACCAAAAGTTACAATTTAAACTTACAACCAACTTTAAAAAAAAAAAAATAAAAAAAAAAAAAAAAAAATAGAACTTCAATTACAAATCAAAACTGAAATGAGCAAACCAACTTAAGCTTAAAAAAAATAAAACGATTAATACATAACAAAAACATGTGTATTAAGTTGTCTTTTTGTTCAAAGTCTTTATCCCCCACCAAAACATCTGAACTCAAAAATTGGTATCTTTTATTTCAAGTAAGAAATTATGGAATAAAAGTGTTAGGATACTTATTTTTGCTTAAATAAAAATAATAAAATTATTTCTTAAAAGTTTTTCTAATATTTTGTTGGATTACCATAAGCTTTTTAAGACTTGGCATAAATTAATTTTGCATGGATTCATCAAATTTTTAATACTTTTTATTTAAATATTTCTTATTTTGCAATACTTATTGCATCTTCAAAGAAATATTTTATTTACAAATTTTATTGCCCATACCATGCTAAATATGTACGTTAGAGCCAAAATCTGGACACTGAGCAGATGTTATCTTATAACTGGATTGCTTTGAATTTTGCAGGACAGCAGCCTAAATTGCACATTCACAACAGCATGCTTAGATAATTCAACTTGTTAGATCCAATTAATTACAGCGGGTTTACATACACTTTTGAGTCATAATTTCTTTCTCATGTACATTTATTGGTGGTTTGTTTTTTGAAATCTTTCTTTGAATCTCTACATCAAATCTCTCTATACATCAATAAATGTTACATTTTTTCTAGTATTAGAATTCTTATTCTGTGTAGGTTTTGAGAAAAGAAAATCTAAAGATTTCTGTTCATTCACTGATGAAGAATTTTTAATTTGCTACTTTGCCATTATCCAATAGATTTTTTTTCTAGCAGTATTTTGATTAGTAAATACTGCATACAGTTCATAAAGTTCTGCTTCAAATCTGGAATATCCATTCATCGATTATTTTAATTATTGCCTTGTCTCATCAATCGGGAGACATTTCTGGTGTTTTCCTGAAGTCATCCTTTATTTTAAATTCTCTCATTCTTTCAGTAATATTTTGTTCTTTTATCAAACTGTGAAATTTAATTTAACCACTTCAGCAATTTTTAAAATCAGTTTTATGTTTTGTAGTTTGGCTTAAGAATTAATTTACAAATTTCTAATAACGTATGCTTTCTTGGAGAAACTATGCAGATAAAATATTGAAATGATGCAAATTTTTACTTTTCAAAAACTTTATTGAAGGAACCAGAATGATTTTTCAGATATTGCTTGTTTTATTATTATTATGCCATTAACATATTATGTTTATTACAGACGATTTTGTTTGCAATTTTAACAATATCGGAGGAACTCTCCTGATTTTTCTATTATAAAGAGAAGATATTAAATTTTAAGCTGAGAAAAAAATTATTGGTTGTCAAAAGACTAGATAGATGCATGATTCAAAGAAATTTATTTATATTCTCATGTATTAAAAGATTTTGACTTTTTACGAAAGGGTTTGGCTGACAGCATGAGATCATTCTTATGTGTTACTGTATGTTACTACTGTATATATAATTATACCATTACATTGTGTAAAATTGATATTTTGTATATGTCAGACTGGCTTAGTGGCATATTATTATTTTTTTAGATTCTCGTTTAAAACAAGCTTTCGAAACTGTTTTTAAGAAGACATTAACTGTAGATCCATTTGACAAAGTAAGTTTTTTTTTTTTTTTTAAATTTTTTTTAATTTTTGAATATGTAATGCAAAATGTTGGTTCTTAGAAAATTAGTTCTCTTAATAAAAAAAAAGGTATAATATCTTATATCTGATGTTTATTTGTTTATAATCTTTTCAAGAAACTTTTGCTTTTGCATAATTAACTAATAAACTATTATGAAGTTTTACTTATATGTAGATAGTGGGACGTCGCAAATATACCAGTAGTAAGGAAGGTTGCATAATTAACTAATGCATCAATGCATCAATGCATCAATTTCTTTATTCACAACACAAGTACCACATTCAGTTAATACATTTAGAAAACTTTAATAGATATTTGAGTTGGTGACATGATCGGAGACGTTAAACAAGATGGCGTTCGTCATCACTGGACGAATAAAAAATCTCCACACCTTTGCTCACTGGCGGAGCTTCCCAACTCTCTCTGCGAAGCATTTCAAAACTACTTCTGTTATACTTGCGCAGGCGCACTATTCTGTAACGTCGTTGCCATCCAGAGTTCATAATAGATTGATAGATATAAATGTACTATGGTTGTTAATATTCTTTTTGTTCAAATATTGTCTGTGTGTTTTTGAGGGAATTTTTATTTGTAAATTTTAATTAATAATTTGGAGTTGAAAAATAATCACTTATAAATGTATTGATAATTTTGCTTTATGAATTGTCACTGTCAACTAATATTTGTATGTCTCTTCTTTTCCTAGTTTGAATCTAGTGTTCCTAGCACTCCGACTATTAGGAGATCTCAACAAGTAAGTGATATATGTATTTATGACTTGGTTAGTGTCAGTTTATTTGCTTATTGTTTATTGTAAGCAAATATGCTCATATAGTTGTTGTTATCATATAAACAATTATTTAATTTATTTTACAGCCTAAAATATTGGTGGATATGTCTCCAGAAGAAGTAAGACAGTTCATCATTAATTTTCAATACATAGGTGTAATTTATATTCCTGTATGTAATTTTAATTGTTGTATTTTTTATATAGCAATTGGCATGGGAAGAAGATCAGTTGAATCAGTTGGTAGATTTTAGTAAATGCCATGTTGATCCTGCTCCTTTCCAGCTTGTAGAGAGGACAACACTAATAAAAGTACATGTCTATAAAATGTTTGCATTTTTCTAAAACTTTATCTTTGACTAATTATAGTGTTTTAATAATTTTTTAATATTTCATTTTCATAGGGCTCTCAAACTTTTAATTTGTTTCAGAACTTTTGGGTATAGAATAAATTAAAATTTATTCTTGTGCTCTTGGGTTTGTTAAGTGTTTCCATGATTGTTTATTAGACAGCAGAGAGTAAATAAAGCTTTGATTGCTAAATTTAGGGCCTTCAGAATTATTTACAAATCCCTAATTCCATAGCTGATGTTTGAGATAAGATTTTTTGTAGTCTCAGCTGATATTCTAAAAATATCCTTTTTAAAATTTGGATTGTTTATGCTTTTAATTTGGAGTTACTAGAAAGTCTGACTTCCTTTTCAGCTGGTGGAAAAATGGTATACAGTTCAAAGTTGACCTTAAAGGGTATGTTAGATAATGGTAAATGAAAGCTGAGATGAAAAAGAGCAAAAGATATCAGATTTAAAATCCTGTTTAAATAATTAGAAGTGCTCTGTAGAAGTAAAAAAATCATAAGTATTCAAAAAAGTATTGAGTGAAGTCAAAGTATAAATCAACAAAAGTATTTAAATAAATAAGAAATAGATAGGATAAAAATTACTGTGTGTACTTTTTAGAATTTAGTAAACAAAATTTGCTGCTGTTGAACATAAAATATTTAAAATTGTTTTCTGGGGAACTGACTTTCTGAGAAATGTGCGACTTTAAAAATAAGATGTATGACTTGTGCTGGAACTTATAACCAGTGCAGTTTCTTGTGGAGGTCCTGCAAATGATTACGGTAAACATGCAAAAATAATTCAGTTTGTTTTTTTTTTATTTAGTTAAGGATTTAGTTTAATATTGATACTTGTTAATATGAGTTTAGTGTGATCCAGTAGCTTTCATTTCATATTTAAACATTACCATTGCCTAACTTGCTATCATATTTAAACATTACCATTGAATAACTTGCTATACTTTGATATTCTGAAAAAATTCTATCATTACTTGATATCTTGTTTGATAAGTTAGAAGAAAATTATGTACTTTTTTAAATAAGCTCAGATAGCTTGTTTTATGTGCACAGAAAACCCATACTATTACGCAAAGTCACTTGTCGGGTTTTCTGGGATGCTTAGCAATATGCTGGGTTTCTGGAATAAAAATTAATTTATTAATTTTTGTATTAGTGTTAATGCATTTATATGACTTATTAAATCAGTTTTAGCATCAATGCATTTATATGCCTTGTTAAATCAAACTGAGCATTTAAAATGTGGAAGGTTACTAATAATTGATTTTAATTATTATGCAGTATTCTTTTACAAATCATAGTAAAATATCTTTTCTCTGATATAAAAATAGATTGATAATTTTCAATAAAAAAAGGTCTCTCCGTCCCAAATATTTATCCATATTAAAAAGTATTGAGTGTCATTGTTTTATGTGAAGTAATTGTTTTATAATTTAATAATACCATGCTGCACTTGCTTCAGTTATTTAAATTCTTTTCAAACGTATAGTTTTTGTTAATTATATAATTTTCTTTTCTAGGTCCATTCTCTCTTTTCCATGTTGGGTTTAAATTATGCTTATGTGACAGCTATTGGAAGGTTAGTTGGAGTTGTCGCTTTGAAAGAGGTAACAAAGTTTTTAACTTTTTAATATTCTTGTAATTTTAATTATAAATGTCAGAATTCTTTTATATTTTTTTAATTTTACATCCTATAAAAAGACACGAATGGCTAATTTAAAAAATCTTCATACTTTTTTTTTTTTTTTTTGTGCTTTGTTTTATGGGGATATTATCCTGTTTTAAAATTTTCTTACTTGACAACATTATAAATTTTTATTTCAAACTTTTTTTTTGTGTGTAGGATGTAAACAGCTATGATATATGTGTATATGTGGCAGAGTGAGCATAATTAAATATTTTCGAAATTATGCTTTTAAAACTAATTATTTTAAACAGATATGTAAACCTTAAGCTTTGAAAATAGAGAGTTTTGAGTAATGCATTATTATAGCTGAAAATGACTATCATAGTTCCAAGCAAGTATAACATATGATATATAGACATGTTTAATAACACTGTGAAATTGAAGATAATAATACATTAACATTATATAAATGTTTTTCCATCTTGATAAGAAAAGGAAATGTATGTATAGGGGATTTTATGATGATAAAATATTCCATATGTTTTGAACAATATTATAAATTGAAAACATCACAGTTGTTTTGGAATATATATATATATATGTTTAGTAAAAATTAGGACTATCTAGAAAGCTCAGGAAAAGTCTTATTCTGGATATGCAAAAATCGTGGATAATTGAGTGTATAGAAAATGCAATTCATGTAAGAAGAACCAAATGAATGCGAAAATAAATTACCAGTGTAAAATTATAAAAAGAGTAATTTTATTTGTTATCAACTTGAATATTAATCGCCTGCATTTAAATTATGTGAGAATTTTGAAGAAAAAGAGCATTCAGCTCTTTTTCTTCAGAATTCTCACATATTTGTTTGCAAATATGTGAGACATTACATTAAAACATATTTGTTTGCAAAATTAATTGGTGGAGATCTCATCAAACTTGCTCCAATCATTTTGACAGAAGTCTAAAAGAACAGGTCACTCTTTATTTATAATCAACATATACACAACATATTTTATATATATAGACATAACATATAAAAAATTAAAATCACTTTTCATAATTTTGCAGATTGCACAGCCAGTGTTTATACATTTTCACATAAGTTCCACTTTTCTTGATGCCAGGATCCTGTAAATTTGAAAATACTCTACTGTATGCTCTTCTGTTGAAGACAAGTCTCAAATTTTAATCTTTTTTTTCTCCAAGATGTGATTGAAAAAACAGATAAACAGCAATTAACATGTAGTGTTTTGTAGTTTATGTACAGTTTTTTACGAAAATTAAACTAACATATCTAGAACTCACCAGGTTTCATAAGCCAAAGCATAGTGCCACTCTTATCAGCTATTGGCACTAAATTGCATTGTTTATTCAAATCATAATGCTGTTCAGGCTTTATATTGGTGTCAGAAATCTCTATTTTGCTTAACTTTAAAAAAATATTCCAGTTACTTGGGTTTTCTGATTAAGTTGAAAGCTAGATAGCAGGGCTTTTACTGTCTAGAATCTATTTAAATTATGTAAGAAAATTTCAACTGTAGATTGCAGATAATTATAAACTTTGAATTGATAAACTTAATATGTATAAACTCTGAAAACTTAGTATGATTATAATAATATTTAACTTATGATAAACTTAGTACATATAAACTCTGAAATGCTTAAAAAGAACTTAAACATTTCAGAGTTTATAGAGCTACTTATTAAATTCAATTTTATGAACTATCAAAATTACTGTATGATTTATGTACACATTATTTCTTTTTCAGCTTCGGAAAGCAATTGAAAACATCAGCAGTGGACTCTTTGTACAGAGCTCAAATCACTTCAATCAAAATGAGAAGTCTGAACCACCTTCAGAAACACAGTCAGAGTGTGAGGATAATGCAGATATAGGGAAAGTGTCTGTTATGAGGCAAAGAAATCAGGATGATGGCTCAAATGTTTGATTGTTCCTATTATTTTTTTATATCCAAAAGTGATAATTTTAGCTATATGCTATCTATTTTACACCCAGTATTGGCCTTATTTATATAGAATTTTCTTTTTTAATAGAATCTCATAGTTAAAATTCAGGTGTGTAACCGGGATTTTTACTTTTAAAAAGCTGTATTTATTCTTTTAAAAACATGTACATTATTGTTCACTGCATAATTTGTTTAATACTTTATTAATTAAATAATTGTCAGAATTTCATGACAAATTTCACAAAATGATAATTTTAAAAGTTTGATATCTGTTTTATTCTAAATTTGATGTTCATTTGTATAAAATTATTAAAAAATTAAGTGCTGAATGCAAAAGTAAGTAAAGAAATAGATATGCTTTTTTAATAATTGCAGATTGATAGGAATTTTATGACAAGTTTTACAATACATGTTCCTAAGTTGTGTCAACAGAGCATTCTTCTTTAAAACAAAAAAAACAAACAAAAAAAAAAAAAAAAAAAATGCTGGCTTATATTTGATTAATTTTAAGAGAAATTTTTCATTCTCTTTTGAACTAAATTAGCGTAGTCTATTAAATAACAGGTAGTTTATTTTTATTAAGGGAAGTAAAAATTATCATTTTAATCAGTTTTTGGTATAGTTCCTTTTTTATCTCTAAGTCCATAATTATCACAAACAACAAGTTTAATATTGAAAATAAGCTAATATATGTATATCATACCATTAAAAACAAATATAGTGATTCAGATTAATTACTTTACATGTGAAGTTCATTTTTATAATAAATATATTAATTTCTAAACTATGACTAATTATTAGAATTAGAAAAGAAAAGAAACTGTAAACGGAAATGTATTTTTAATGTTAAATTTATCATTAGTTATTATTATCTTTTTTATTTATTTAAGATATAATAATACATTTGTGCCCCTATATCCATATATCTACAGTTTACAGTGGTGTGTAAAAAAAGTACATTTAATTTATAAAATACTGTACAGTGATAAATGAGCTTTTGCAGAGTAAAATACAGTAACAGTAACTGAAACATATTTACTGTATCCCCACTATAATCAGCACCATGTGCACTTGCATGCTGATTCTGGAATAATGAGATCAAATGTAGAATGAAAATGGTCATTGCAGAAACCTTATGTGTGTTCTCAGGTTTTTTCTCAAAGTCGTGCTCAGGTTACTTCTCATATCTTGCTCGATGAGTCTAAATATATGAGCAGTGAGTTGTAGCTGTTAATGGTCTGAGAGTATCCAAGTAATTTTTCTTGCTTCTCTTTTAAATTCATTTTCATATAATATTCTTCTTATTCCTACACGTGGCATGTTATACCGTATTATATTTTTCATAGTTTTGCTGAGAAAAGAATTTTAATTTTTACCATTCCTTAAAATAATACATATAGAAACTGCATTTTTTTTCTTTCCTTACTTATCATTAATAGATTAGACTAAAATATCAGAATCCTTTGCTTTCTTGCATGCAAAGAAGAGAGAAAATATTATAGTGTGAAATATATTTTGCATTGATTTTATTTAAGAGTATTGTAGTATTGTATACAGCATGGGTGGCTAAATACTTTTAACAATGAGCCAAAAAGGTATTTTTAGTGCATCATGTGGGCAAGGCAGAGGCGATCTTTTGTGGTGCCTTTCTTGGGAAAGGCAGGATATGGTTGGGGGTGAAGAGAAAATATTCCTCCCAGGGTAGAAATTATTTTAAAAAACTATGATTACAATTTTGAAAAATTACAGATATGCCCAAAATGGTATATATTTTTACTGATCATCAAATGATTGACATCTGTACTCTTTCATTTTCAAATAAAAACTTAGAAGTGAAATGTCCCCTTTTCTGATCAGTCTTTTTATTTAAAAAATATTCGTACTTCATTGTTTAATTTCTAAATTAAAGCTTCTAGAAATGATAGGACTATATAGTCTTCAATAGAATGCACATGCTTTCTAACATATCTAATGATCTCAGCTAAGGTTGATCGCTAGTGTAGTCATACATATATTTTATGTATTTATTTTACATATACACTATAACAATGCATGAGCAGTCATGCTGCTGATTTCGGTAATTTGCATACATAATTGGATGTAAAAGAGATGAAATATCATTACACAGCTTTTCATAATGAGCCAGATTAAACAATTAAAGCTGCATTTGGCCTGCGGGATTGCGTTTGCCCAGCTTTGATATATGGCAGTGGTAGCTGTAGCCACATGTGGCTTTCACATGCGAGAGGTGCTGCTGTTATGCAAATAAAATATATTATAAAATATGTTTAACTAAACAAAGTAAGGCAAACTGTAATTGAATGATTGTTTAGAATCAGATATTTTTTTTTTTTTACTTGAAACATATGGCTCTTACTGATATGAAATTTGGCCACCCCTGGTATACAGTATACTTCAAAATAACATTATTTAATGTTGATAATATATAATAATGCATATTTTATCAAATAAACTTGACTTTTATATATCATTCACTATTATCACTATTTGATATATTCAGAATAAGTCTTGGAATAATTGTTTGTGAATATAAGGCCACTATTATTCTCATTTAAAAAAAAAACTGTTTGCAACACTGCTTTTAATTATAAATATTTCTTTCATAACTATGGAAAAAAATTCAAAGCCAGGATATCTTTCTTTTTGTTTACAAAAAGGAAAAAAAGGGGGGAGATTAAATTCCAATCTAAATTCACTTTTCTTTAATATTTCTTATTTTTTGTGTAGACTTTTTGAGTGGGATACATAGCTTAAAATGCATTGCAAACTTCTGTGAACATTTAAGTTTAACCTATATTCTAATACAGTACAAAGTCCGTAATCCAGATGTCCATTATCTGGAATGATCTATAATCCGGACCTCAAAGCCACAAACTTTTGCATGCACGTAAAGTATTTATGGATGCGCTTTTAATGCATGTGTCCACTATGCATGCGCATAAAGCATTTACCCATGCACACTTCCGATAGTGAAGAAAGTGACAGAGAGGTTATTGAAAACGAAAAAATTTCAATTGACAAGTTAGTCGGTATTCTCGACACAGAACTTGAACAGTGGAACTTTGTAACTGAACAAGAAATTATGTCTGTTTATAGAATTAAAGAGAAAGTATTAGCACAAAAAAACGAAGCAACTTAAACAACTTGCATTGAAAGAAACGTTTAATAAAGTAAACAAATAAATATTAAGCTTTTTTTTTGTAAATTTTGATACCCTTTAGATCAGAATTGCTCTTTATTTCATAAATTACGGTTTCATATTTTTAATTGTATAATTTCTGCATGCTATCTTACCAGATTTAAATTGATGATCTAGAATCTGGAAAAACCCCTAATCCGGAATCACTGAAGTTCCGACGAGTCCGGATTATGGACTTTGTACTGTATATACCTGTAATATGTGAGGTCCAAGACATTAAATATTCCACTGCTAGGGATCTAAATTGATAAAATATTTTTTTACAATATTTTAATACAAATACAACTTTTTATAACTTGAATTTTAATAATTCCATGTATAATGTGTAATTAAATAAACCAATCAGAATGATCTATACGTAGATACTAAAGGCTGACTTTTTGCATCAGTTTATAGCTGATGCTCTCGAAATTTCATGTCATATTTAATTTGGTGTTATCCTTACATGCCCTGTAAATTTATTGCACTTTATTTACCTATTTATGCATTTATATTTTTCCCTTTTTTGTATGCAATTCTTGTGCTTGAATTCTCAGCAAATCTGTCTTTTTAAGCAGGGTTCTCCTCTTTATTAATTGAATTTTTCCATTGTTGTAGATTTATATATGGTTTAAATCCATAATTAAGTATTATACGAGTAGTTTTCTAAATGTTTATATTAAAGATATTGCTGATAAAACTCATTGTTGGATGAAATTTATAGAATATTATTTATTTATTTATTTAATCTATGCACAAATGTATATCATATCATTGTTATCAAGGATTCCTTGGTAGAACACTTCGAAAAATTTCTAATTATTTATAAAATCATTGCTATATCTTATCAAAAAGTATTATTCTGTAAACTCTTCATTTGAGTATTGACCTTCAGTCACTGTGTTTGAGCGTTTATTTAGAATTTCATTTCTTAAAAGTTAAATTATTGCTTTTACTGTAAAAAATTTTTAAAGTTGCAATTTTACACTTAGGTATTCATATCTATCTATTGTACTGTATACCAAAGGGTTGCATTCATTGTTATCCATATAATGAAAGATCTAATTTTTTATACATGTATATTTGCTCCGTGTTATATGTGCCTTTAAAGACAAATTCTGTGTCCGCATTTATATACATGTAGACATTTAACTTCTATTACTTCCAAATATTTTATTGTGAGTTGCAAAAGAACGGGGTAGTTCATCCCCCATAATAGAAGAAAGCATAGGTATTATTTATATGCTCATAAAAAAATGTGATCAAAGTATATATAATTCTTCTCTCAGATCTTAAATGAAATTATATTCAGGGGTTAGCAACATAAATAAAATATTTTATTTTAGGATTTTTTAAGTAATATTATGATACTATATTTTGTAGTTTAGAGCTGAAATTTATGCATAAGAAAGTTTATAGGCATAGATAAGATGTTTGAGAAAGCTGTCTATAAATCTTTTAACTGCTAATCATAAATATATATTTGCTGTCACAAAAGTTCTTTCAAATTAAGTAAAGAATTTTAAAATGGAGCAATTTCAATGATGTGAATGGAAAGATTCTTTAAAAGTATAATTTAATTTTTTATACAGTTTCCTTTGAGCAGAAATTCCAATTAGTAAAGTATTTTTGCTTTAACAGTTTCATATCTTTGTGTGCATGATGTGCATAGGTATATATGAATCGGATTCAAAGCAGTTGACAGTAAATTTTAAAAACAAATGTTTTTTTATGCATAAGAAGTAATTTTTGCTATGTAACTGCTTTCAGAATGTATCCTTAGATGCTTTGCAAATTAATGTCTAAATGAGCACAAAAAAATATGCAAGTTATATTCATTCCTAATCTCTAGAAATTTTCTGCATAAAAGTATATTTTTATATTTATTTATAATAATACATTGATTATTAATTTTTGTACTCAAGAGAAATTCTGATCTGTTCCGTAATTTAACTTTTAACTGTATGTTTTGTAATTTTATAACTTTTAATTGTATGTTTTGTAACTATGTAATTTAACTTTTAGCTGTAAAAGATAATTTTTTTTTTTTTTTTTACAGAACTCTTCCACTTACAATATTAAAACTATTTTCATAAAATTCTTTACCTTTCTTTAAGAAACTTTGAACTAGAAGTGTATGTTCGGGACCAATCCTTTATCTCAGGCATACACTAAGCTGTGCTAAGAGTGAGTTGAATAAGGCTTTATATTAAAAAAAAGTGCAAAATTAAGCTATAATAAATTACATATTAATGTAAT